TACTGCCCCAGTTCCTAAACTGTAATGGAAACTAGTTGATATTTCTTTCCCCGTAACAACATGCCTATAGCTCAATTACCTACACTCTCGCACACATTAACAATTCAATACAATACAAAGGGGCTTTATTGGCATGACCACATTTTAAACATAGTATTGCCAAAGCATTCCGCACGAGGCGTTATAACAGGACAAAACAACAATCAACACTAAACATAAATGTTAACACTATGTTGTTATGTGTGTGTATCAACTGTGATATAATGTGACTGTTGCAGGCGTCCATCATCATGCGGAGGAAGGAGTCGAAGGCGGAGGAGCTGCAGGAGGCGAGGGAGGAGCTGGCGTCTGCAGAGAGAGACCTGAGGGGGAGGAGCCAGGCTCAGGACTCTGAGGGGGGGGAGATCATCCGGACAGATGAGGTACTCTGCCCTTTTAAAGGTTACTTTAATAATGCATTATAGACATAGAAAGTGCTACCAAAGATATGACTGTTGCACTTCTTGAAATAAACAAAGTATCAAGTGAAACTCAACTGGCTTTGTGTAACAGACAAGATGCTTTACAGTCCGTTTAACAACTGTAGGAAGACGTAGAGTATGAACTGTGTGTAGTGTAGTCAATGGTTTTCTGAACGTGTTAGGGTCCACTACAAAACACGTCTCACTCTGTAAACCAAATACTGATCCTATTTAGTAGCTTTTAAGGCGTTATAAGTCATTTAATAACGCATTAAAGACATAAGGGTCATAGAAAGATAATTCTGTTGCAGTTTTTGTAACAGACAAGATGCTACAGAGTCCATTTAGCAACTGTATGAAGACGTAAAGTGTGTGTGTGTGTGTGTGTGTGTGTGTGTGTGTGTGTGTGTGTGAAAAGCCATTCCTTAAGGTCTGATGATTGACGTTAGAATGAATGTGTGATTTTGCTTTGATGTAGGTTTTGAACCGCTCTGAAAGTATCTCATAAATAAAAACACATCATTGAGAATTATTGATTTAATAAATAGTAAGGATGTGGAGTTTCTGAAATGGTCAGGGTTGGGAGGGTTCCTTTAAATTAAGCCCTGAGCCTGTTTTTCAGGTTTCAGGCTCGAAAATGCCACTAACACAACAAATGATATATCTTCACTTCTAAAAGGGGTAAATTCATAAAAAAAATTCTCAAAGCAAGGTTACATCTGTGAGTTGGATGTAGAAGTGTCAGAATCAATATAGATGTTTTTTATTTTAAAGTAAATTCAGATGGAACATAGTAGAAACATGTACATTATAATGTCCACCTTAAAAAAAAACTTTACTTATAGTGAAAACCACCCTTGCATGATGGGTTAGTAGACTAAAAGCTTTAGGAATCCAAACTATAACATATAATAAGTACCCTGTATCAAGATTGATGCAAAACAAGTGAAATTTGACCTTTTTAGAGAGATTTAGAAAAATAAAGTCTAAGCGGACTCACCTCTGGGTAATTTGGGAACCATCGGTTCCATTTGAACTTTTTCACTGTAAAAATCATTTTATTACTTTGAATTATCACTATAGGTATTCATTCCATCCAAATACAACTGTTGTGAAAAAAATAAAATAAAACATAGGCCTACTCTTACAGTGAGCCTCTGAATTAGCCCCGAGCGAAAAATGCTAACCTATTACGGCACCGAACATCACTCCTCGCTCCCTTATTACTTATCCTAGCTGCACATCCAACACATTGTTTATGATCGCAAGGAGACACAGAATCTAACGGTGCCCACCTGAACAGCCCAACACTGAAAGATACAAACTCGCGACGTTATCAACAAAAACGTACATCAAAACAAATGGCGCTAGCGCTAATGCGCTAGGCTAACAATGACTTACCTTCCTCGTTGTCTGGTCTAAACTGGTCTTCAATGGCATTAAAACGATAAAAACGATGATGTAGTTAATCCATATATTAATATCCAATGGGGCTGTGTCCCCTTTGAAATGTTCTGATAATCTATAAGCAATAAAACTGCAATTCCGTTATCTGCTGTCCGCTCTGTGCTCCGTGCGCTCTGGGTCCTGCTGCATTTCCTGCTTCGTTACGTTGTAAACAATAAATGAAGTCGGCTGCGTAATGTACTTAAGCTGGCTGGCATTCTTTATACTTTACGCAGGACCATATCTCTGGAACCCATTGGTCGATTCGTGTGATTTACACCTTTTTCTTAACCATCAGAACCAATAGAATCGATGGGCAGTTCCCAAATCTACGTAAACATTACCATAGCGGACGTAATAGAGAAGCAAACGAAGCATATCTGAAAGTGCAAGCCTGGACGGCAATACTTTATACCGAGTATATTGCCATAAATATGATGATTGATTATCAGTAAAAAATTCTACGTGACACAAAGACATTGGATTAACCTTGAGATGCGTTTTTATTCCGTTGAACACAACTTTTGATCACAAATCAAAAAAGGTAAGACGTAATTATTGTAATATTTTTGAAACCGGATGTTGTTTACTTTCTCTTTTCTGGCTGATAGCTCCAGGAATTCGAGGTCGGACAGTGATGACATTACATGTGTGGAATCGGTGGAGTCTCAGCTTTAAATCGTATATCTTGTTTGTGCAGTTAAGATAGTAATAAGGGCATTTCTACCGTGTGTTGTGTGTAAAAAAGCGTTAGCATTAGTTAGCATTTTTTCGCTCAATGCTAATTCAAAGGCTTATTACTCTTTTGTTTTTTTTAGCTAACAATTGTTCTTATTGTCAGTTAGCGGAGTTTCTTACCTTTAAAAGGGTATGAAACATTAATAGTTTCATAAATGTTAAGAAGCCCTGAGACATGTGAGAAAAAAAAAACTGTGGGAGAGGGTCCACTGGGGGGACCTTCGGGCTTAACTGGTTAAAAATGTAATCTGTTACAACTACTTCAGACAACAGAACAACGTGACCTTAGAAAATACAGATATTTGGGATCAGAAATGATTGTATTTAAAGGACAACCTGCCTTTCAGGAAGCAGCCTTCAATGAAACACATGAGCATACTTTATACTACAGTTTAAAAAAAGCACCTGCTGAATTAAAAACAGAACAAATGAAGCAAAGAAAGTGAAACCATAAAGCAGATTCAGGCAGTAGAGATAGATTCACACTTAAAGTATTATTCTACAGAACAGCACAGCTCACAGAGACAACATCTGATCCTTGTTTCTCAAACTTTTTCATACCAAGGACACTTAACCAATAAAAAAACACTCGCGGACCACCTTACTCCACAAATATCCAAAATCACATCGTTTTTCTAGAACAGATTACAAATCGCCTGAAAATGGTACAAACAAGTGGCAACATGTGTGATGAAGGTGTTGCGCTGGGCTATATCATGCAATCGAAAGTGAAACATAAGTTCGCTCCATTGCGGAGATATTCCCACGAGAGTGCGTACAACTGTAATTTATTAATTAATTTAAAATGTGAAATTGTACCAATATACTCACGGACCACTAGGGGGCGCTCACGGGCCACCAGTGGTCTGCGGACCACACTTTGAGAAGCACTGCTTTACAGCAAACACTAAATGCTCTTTTTAGGTTGTCACTAACACTGTAATCCTGATAGTGATCCCCAATGTTTAGAACAGTAATCAGATTGTTGTTGTAAGGGAGTACAGTTACGTTATCATGGTGGTCAGTGAGCATTGGTGGATTTGCAAACCACAGAAGACACAGGAGGCTATTTCAGTTCTTTATCCAAACACAGACGGGATCACTGTCTAACGTTACGTTCCCTCTTCCTAACTCTCCCACACATTCCCATGCAGAGCCACAAATAGAGCACAACAGAGAATATCCAGAGCAAGGAGCCGTAGTGAAAGGCGGCCTTTTGTCCCTCGGCTCGTTTAAGTCAGCTGGACACATAAAACAGACACGGGGCATAGAGCCTTTTGTCTTCATTTACATCCCGTGACAAGGATATACTCTCGCAGGGTCTGGCGTCACGTCGGGGAGAAAGCCTTGCGCTGTCACTATCTTCTTCTGCCCGTGCATACATTACAGGGATGGATGGGATAGTTAGAAAAGGGCCTGTGTGACGTACTTTATTGTCAGGGTATTACAGTAGATGAAGATGGGCATGCCCCAGTTTGGAGAAACCAGGAGGAAGCTGAGCAACAGAAGGAGGCAGCAGCAAAGGGATTTTAGCTTCTTAAAAACAAGATTTAAATGGAGAAACCAGCTCGAGTGCGCTAGAATCTGAAAGTACGCAGCCGAAAAAAATCTGCCCCTTCCTTCAGACTTCCTCACATACCTCATTCACACCAACGGTGTTTCAGGGCCGGTTCGGAGCTGGAATTTGAAAAGCACCGGGTTTTCCTGTTCACACCGCAGCAGAGCAGCCTCTTAGCTCCGGAATCCGGTTCGTTTCAAGCACCAAAAAATTGTCCGGCTAGAGCAAAAGCACTGCATACGTCACGCTTACGTCGAGGCGGGAGCAGGGGCGGGATCAACTCCTGAACAACAACCAAAAGCCGGCGTTGTATCCAGTTTGTACACAACGATGGAGAAACTTAACAAGCAGCAGTGGTCCACTGAAGAGACCAGCTACCTACTGGGAATCTGGTCTTCCGAAGAGGTACAGAGGAAGCTGGAGCACAATCGGTCATTGTTGTTGTTGTCGGTGTCAGCTGTGAGGGGCTTTCCGCGCGGTTTGGCTTTATGAAGCAGGCACGCAAACGGTTACGTCATGACGCAAACGATGACGCAATGACGCAGCACGTGTCGGCCTCTGGGCGGTGTGAAAAGAGCCGGAGCTAAACCGAAGAACCGGTTCTGAACCTGAAAAGCTCTAGCACGGAGCTTGTACCGGAATTGCGTTGGTGTGAATGAGGTAACAGAGCCCCTCCTCCAACACACACGAACGCGCACATGACCAATGAGGGCACGAGATAAGTTTGTGCCCAGATGGAAGGCTGACAGGCAGGTAGGCCATCCAGTTACTTTAGCCGGGCCGGCTCAGATGATTGGTCGTGCTTTTTACAGTACCACGGCTTCCACAGATGACATTTTTTAATGTATTCATTGCTATCGGGATGTTAAGAGCATTCCATGGAATATAACAAAAAGTGTTTCTGAAGTGAATGACCTACCCCACCTTTAAGTGTAACCTATATTCATGTTTTCTTTTGCGCTTTACATTGCTGTCAGAGAACACTTTGTAAAGGGGGAAATTAAAACTCACCTGTAAGAAAACATGAATGCTTTTAGTAGTTTTAGAACATGGGGTAGTCCTGCACTTTAGCCATTTGTGGTTGAACCTGAGAATGATTATAATATGTCCTCTCTAAGAAAAATCCAGACCAAAAGAATGTAACAGAGAAAACACGTTGTTCTCTGTAAGTGTAGTGGCCAAAATCCCAAAAAGTTTGTCTTGTAACCTTCACCTCAAA